GCATCAACCTTGTGAAGGATCACTCCACTCTACAAGGTACAAGGACAGACTGTATCTAAAGAAGTGAGCCGTGACTCACAAAAGCTTCTCCCCTGCCAAAAATTCCTCTTTCCTTTTTTTTTTGGTATTTTTGCATTTTGTGTGTGTGTGTGCGCGCGCGCACGCCTGCGCCCGGAAGTCACGGCGACCTCCGGCGACTCCTGCTGGGGCACAGAGAACGTTCAGAGAAATGGCTTGACAGCCTGCCCCCGCCTCCCGACTGCTGGTATTCTCTGGAGGTCTCCCATCCAAATAACTTTCCAGGGTCGGCCCTGCTTAGCTTCCGAAATCTAAAGAAACAACAACAAGGACCCAGCAACCCTAGAGAGTAGACCAAGACAAAAGTTGACTTTGTGAACAGAAAGAATGACTACAAACTGAGATGTGACAAAGACTTTGGTCGAAACGAACAGCTAAAATCTCGAGCAAGTTCGTCTTGGTGGGACTTCGGTCTCTGGATGTGCAGCTATTGAAACAAAAAGAATATGTATTAAATTATCCATACTTTGCATAAGTATATTGAACTTGTACGGCAACTTTTTTGTCTTGGTCTAGCTTCCGAAATCTGACAAGATCGGGCTTGCCTGGGCTACACGGGTCAGGGCAGGAGAGTTATTTTCCTACTGACAGTAATTCAGGGCTATATCAGTGCTAAAAGCAATCAGACTGGGACTGAGGGAACCCGGAGTCAGACCTCCGCTCAGCCACGAGGCTTAAAGGGTGATCTTAGGTCGCCGTTATCGTGAGGATAAATGGGAGGGGTGTGTGCATGAGAGGATAAATGGGAGGGGGAAGTCCATGAGAGAAGAACCACCTAAGCGGCTCTGAGCTCCCGAGAGAGCAATGTAATAAATACATCAATAAATATTCTACTTCACAGCTGGGCCATGTTCCCTAAAAGCTTCTCATGTTTTATTGCCACAGCTGTGAGGGGACCCTCCGAATGGCTCAGAGAGGAGCGTGTGGCTCTCGTCTCCTTCTTTGTTTTATCCCCATCACAACAACCCTGCAAGGCCTGAGATCACACCCAGCGAGTCTCCCACCGCCGAGGGAGAGCGAGGAATTCTCCCGGCCTGCTGGTTGTTATTCCGAGGCATTGACCCTCCTGAGTATAACACACAAGAGAGCCGGGTTTGGTGTAGTGGTTAGGAGCGCGGACTCTAATCTGGGAGAACCGGGTTTGATTCCCCTCTCCTCCACTTGCAGCTGCTTTTGTGACCTTGGGTCAGCCACAAGTTTCTTCAGAGCTGTTCTCTCAACGACAGTTCTGTCAAGAGCTCTCTCAGCCCCACTTGCCTCACAGGGTGTCTGTTGTGGGGAGGGGGAGGGAATGGAGATTGTAAGCCGCTCTGAGACTCCGAGTGAAGGGCGGGGGATAAATCCAATCTCTTCCTCTTCTTCTTTTACCTCACAGGGAGTCTGTTGTGGGGAGGGGGAGGGAATGGAGATTGTAAGCCGCTCTGAGACTCCGAGTGAAGGGCGGGGGATAAATCCAATCTCTTCCTCTTCTTCTTTTACCTCACAGGGAGTCTGTTGTGGGGAGGGGGAGGGAATGGAGATTGTAAGCCGCTCTGAGACTCCGAGTGAAGGGCGGGGGATAAATCCAATCTCTTCCTCTTCTTCTTTTACCTCACAGGGAGTCTGTTGTGGGGAGGGGGAGGGAATGGAGATTGTAAGCCGCTCTGAGACTCCGAGTGAAGGGCGGGGGATAAATCCAATCTCTTCCTCTTCTTCTTTTACCTCACAGGGAGTCTGTTGTGGGGAGGGGGAGGGAATGGAGATTGTAAGCCGCTCTGAGACTCCGAGTGAAGGGCGGGGGATAAATCCAATCTCTTCCTTCAAATCGGCAGTCATCCACAGATACATGAGCCACAGGGTACCGTACACTGAATGTTCCTTTCTCACATCTCTCCCCAAATTATTGTGATGCATGCTTACTCTCCTGAACGTATCGAAAACATTTTTTAAAACCACCTCAACTTGCATGAAGAGAGTTTCAGGGAGGCAGCTGTGCTGGCTTGCAGTGGAAAAGCAAGATTTTTTTTGGGGGGGGCACCGGAATCTAATCTTGCACCCCAAACGGAGTGCCCTAAATGCTTTTGTCGGTGGAAAGTGCTGCGTAAGTCACAACTGACTAACTGCCACCCTGTAGAGTTTTTAGAGCGACAGACCAACGGAAGTGGTTTGCCTTTGCCTGCCTCTGCGTGGCGACCCTGGACTTCTCTGGCGGTCTCCCATCCAAGCTGGGGTCATTTCGTAGAAAAAAGAGGGGCAGGAGCTCATTAGCATAACTCATTTGCATAGGCCACACCCCCTGACATCACCGGAAGTGTGTCAGAAGGCAACACCCACCGCTTAGGCTCCACTGGACTGTTTTGGAGTGCTAGCTATGGGGGGGG